TGAATTATTTCTCTTTTTTTTTCCTAACAATTATGATTCTCACATCTCAATACTTTGTGATTGAGACTTGGGGAAAACTAATTCATAAATCTTTATAGTTAATTGATTTTTAATCATATCCCACAAAGGTTAGTCTCCCTTTGAGCCATTTGATGAAAATGATAGAGCATAGTCAAAATGTATAGTTGCTTTTCACATACTGTCGTCAATGCAACTTCTCGTTCATTTCATGAATGGAAAAGACAGCATCAAATGAAAAAACAGAGAGCAGAGAGAAAGAAAATTACCCAACACTTAATCAAATTTCTTTATATACACAAATTAGTTTGAGCTACCGTATTTTACAGAAAATTACAATTAATTGAAGGGTCACAAAGACAATTTAAAAAGAAAAGGCTTGTGCCAGCTTACATAAATCCTTCGATCATGCCCAACTACTATCAAACCTCTTCAATTCAAATAATAGACTTAGCTTCACATGATCACACTATGCAAATAGCAAAACTGAATTAGCGATGATGCTGCCTTGATGCCTTGCTCTTAACTTGAACAAGCATATCAGTTTTTGCAAAGCCTCCAGCTGTGACATGTGCAGCATCTGGAAAGAAATATATCCTGATCTGAGGACCTTGGGCATTCAACCCTAAAAAAAAAAAAGTTGAAGCCTCTCCCAACTAACAAGATCTTTTTATTTTTTTATTTTTTTGCTGTAACTTATTCCAGTGCCCATTATCACAATGACACCTAACCTTTTTAATATTTTTAATCTGTAATTTTATTATAATAAATTTACTTTTTTTAAGAATTGATAGTGATAAACTGATCTTTGTTTTGAATTTTGTATATATTAAAACAAAAAATTATTTAATATATAAAAATATTAAATTGGATCAATAATCCAAAATCAACCTCGGTGGTTCTTATTATGATGAGGGTATTATACATAGTAAATTCACATTTTTATTATTGTTTTTCAAAACATAAATACAAAAGAGAATTTTTATAATTATGTTTGTCTATTTTATCTCTTTTTGTTTGATTTTTTTTTTGCTCATAATTAGCGCTTCTTTATACTGTATTTACTTATTTTGAATTTTAATGCCCAAAGTAAATATGCTTATGTTCTCTACAACGAATGGGATGACTAAAAGCAAAGCTAACTTTTACAGGCTTCCCCTTTTCCGTGTGACTTCCGAAAAGGCTTTAACGCATAATTAGGAAACTACGTTGAGACTTTCTCCCAAGTTTCTTAAGGCCTTCACCCAAAGCTTAATTAATAAAAAACTAAGAATGATTCAAATTTAATAAATGCATGATGGCCAATTATATATAACTATTATATAACGGACAATTATATATACTGCTTCATACTCGTTTGTTCCATTGGAAATACAGGACGAAAATGAACGTTCTTGTAGTAGCGTAGCATGAGGAAGGAAACCTTCTTTTTATTCCACACATCCAAATAAAATGAGAGGAGGGGACTATTATAAGCATTGCTGATTGACTGATCAACGAAGCGCTTCTACTTTCCAACATAAGCACAGAACAAATGAACGTACAGAATCGGTGGAGGAGATTTAAACTAACAAAATGTAAGATTTAATTTCATTCACGTGCTTAACATGGGATATATAAATTGTTGTCTCTCAGAAAATGATGTAGAAATAATATCCATGTATATCGAATGGAGGCTGGGTCCGGTTGTTTTCAATTTTAATTTTAATATAACAGTTAAAGATTTAGTGTTTACTTAATTTAGCCCTATAGGCATGGAAGATCACGATAAGAGAAAGATCAATCATAATCAAGCATATATATATATATATATATATATATATATAGTTACCTATCCAAGCCAGAATCCCAACCAGATAATTAAATTGGCAGCATGAGTGAGAGCCTCCCTCCACTTTTGCAGTTGTTGCTTGAAATGGTGATGCTTTTCTGCTCAAGTTCTTCAAATGCTTTCTGGTAACTCTCGGATTGCTTCCTCATATGTGAAGGATCTACTCTATAGAACACTCTAATATTTCTGTGAGCTCCTTCAAGCACCACGTGGAAGTTGTATTAATAATTGGGGGATATTAAATGCCACTGCGCACGTAATAAAAACATCTCAACTTAATGATTGAGATATACATAGGAACATTTAATATTATAATTAAGTCTTTGCCTGGGTTTGCTCAAAACCAGCAAAATCATATGCTTGTGCAATATTAAGATTTGTAAGTCGCACTTTCTTCCATCAGCTTCTTATGTCTTCGTTAACTGATGAGATATTCATCTTTGATGTTCGCAAAGCCTTTCCCAGCAACTTCAGTAATTTGATCTGCCCTTACGACATATAAGCTATGAAACTCCAATCCTTAATTATGATGCGGTATTGGGGCGAGGGAACCCCCAAAGAGTTGCAAAACATTCACAATCATTTTCCCTCTTTTTTTTTTTTAATTATGAAAATAAAAGTTTAAATAAGTTGAATTTCTGTCCTCCTGGACTAGTATGCCTTTATTTGGGCTTTGGCATTTGCACAGTTGGAATACTTTGTTTTGAAAAAAAGGATAAAGTTCTCTCTTTTTGCTGACGTTGCGAAGAAGAGAGAGCAGAAGTAGTGGCACAAGAATAGTTATTAACAGAGTACTTATAGAAAGAGACTCATTTAAACCGTAAGGCAAGACTAAAGGCCCTTTGTGCCAAGAAAATCCTCAACGACAGAGTTATGCAAGGGAACAGACGAAAATGAACAGAGTTGCAGACGAAAATGAACTTGAACCTTGAAATCAAAATGTATGAATGCTTTTTACATATTGTCGCCAATACAACTTTTTTTGTTCATTTCATACTGAATGGAAAAGGCAGCACCGAATGAAGAACGGAGAGCAGAGAGAAAGAAAATTATACGAAGAGTGGACTATAAGCATTGCTGATTGATTGAACAATGAGCCCTTCTACTCTGTTTAGCCGGCAAGGGATCTGTCAAAAATAAGCACTGAACAAATGAACAGAATCGGTGGATGAAACTGAAACCAACAACATATAAGATTTCATTGGCATGCTTAACTTGAGATATGAAAATTTGCTCCAAAGAAATTAGTGCAAGGACAAACCTCAACAAATTGGGGCTGCCACACCATGTGCATGAGGTGACAGGCATCGGGCGAGTCAGAATCTTCTTCGCTTTCACTGGTTTCATGTTCTTCACGATCCTTGTCCCTATTAATTATAACCGCGATCAGAGGCTCAAATGATTCATTCCTCATGTGATCAGGCTCTGCTTCAATATTAATAACTTCATTCATAGACATGAAGCTAAATGCGTCAGGAACTTATGCAAACTAAACTAACAACCCTGATTAAATTAAGAACTCCGAATTACCGTCCAATATTAAATCCCAGCTATCAAATGTTAACCTCAATCAAATTTTTAGCGTATTCCTAATTAAAGGCAACTTTGCAGATTCAACTTTTTTCAGAGCAAGATCATCGGATGAATAGAACGAGATCAAACTTATCAGGCTGTTGATTATGAGTTGACGATTTTAATGGATGCAGCCTTATGAATATATATATATATATATAGACACACACACACACACACACACAAATTAGATGGAAATGATGCAGCCATCAGAGGGAGTGGGATTGAAAAAGAAATATGAGAATATATTAATGTTCAAAGATCGAACCAGTGATTATATTCCCAGACTGCTTCTTCGATTGCGCTTGAAGATGAACTTGATCTCTATATTTGCAAGCTCCTTCAATGGCTTCCTCAATTTCCATAAATCTTTTTCTTTCTCAATCTGCTCAGTTAATTTCCTGTGATTATGAAATATTAGAAGTAAGAAATAATCAGCTTAATGTCCATTTGTTGAATCGAATTCTTCAAAAATGTTAAATTAATTATATGTATGCCAATTCTTCAAAAAAAAAAGAAAAAGAAAAAAGGAAGCATGTCTATCAGTAGTAGTTAAAACCAGAGCATACCATTTTGAGGTGGAGGCGCGAGAGTGATGTGTGAAGTTGAAGTAGTGGGCAGATGAATTGAACTTGAGAGCTGTAAAACTCAAAAACCATGTTATGAAATTCATCGAAGTAAGCTGTGATATTTGCGCTTTCGAGAGGCCGATTGCGTTGCATTAGAGCTACGATGTGGATGCAATAATGCCAATTGAATTTGCTTGATGTCATTTTGATATTCAACAGCAGATGTCGGGCACACCCCACACTCTTTGATGCCTCCTCTTGTTTCATCAAGACGTGCGAATTCAATTTGAAGCAATGGATGATAAGTGTTGCTTTGGGCTTCTATTTTCTTTGCTTCAATTTTCCTTTGTACTTCTCGACGTGCCCGTTGATCGTACAAAAGAACAACATGATCTGACAACATGGACTCACTATGAGAACACCATGCAGACATGGAAGCATATTGACCATCAATAAACAATTTGGCCGTAATTTTTAGAAACCGTGATGATCCAGAAATGACGGCGCAAAAAATGAAAGCGCCATCCCAAGGTTGTGGAATCGAACTGAGATCCACAGTCAAGAAAGACCCTGTAGTCCTATACATGACCCACTCTGCAACTCTATTCCCCGGATATTTCACTGTAGCCCCGTAATCATTGGCTTTGTTATTATTTATGTCAAGTATCAATGTGGCCTCAACAGCTTTGATTGACTGCCCATCCAACTTCATGCAATTTCTGAAACTGAAGATCGGATGAAAATATTGTTTTCCTTCTCTATCTTCACTCATTAAAGGTGAATGTAAAGTCTCAAGGGACAGGCAGTCATCGACCAACAGCATTGAGATAAAGGGAGGGAGTTGTGGTAGAGACCGAAGCCTTTTGCATCCAATTAAGGTGAGACTTCGCAGGCTTGAAAGATGTTTGATGCTTAAAGGCAAGGTCTCTATATTATTCCTCGAGAGATCTAACCGCCATAATGACGACAACAAGCTGATGTTGTCGGGCACTTCATATAATTCACTACAATCAGTCAGCTTTAGATCGCAAAGCACGCATCTCATCAAATTTGGAAAGTAGATTTGACGCTAGCTTATTACAGTATGCAGCCTCAAGGCCTCGAAGGGTACGCGGGTCAACCAACTTGTGAAAACTTGTCACACCTTCGCATCTTCCTAGATCCAAAATACCAATTTTGCTGAGATGTCCGCTTGATGAGCACAACTCACCATTGATGGCTGCATCACAAAAATCCAACTCAGACAAAAAAATTTCTGAGGTCACCGAAAATTCTGAGTCCTGAGCATCCCATCAAGTTGAGTTCCCTCAGTGATTTGAGATGGGTGTTGCTCGTAAGGCTGGTAAGGGCTTTGCAGTGAAATAGCACTAAAACACTAATGCTATGAAGAGATAAAATAGATGGATGAACATTCTGCAATTTTGGACAATATCCAAGAATAACTCGTGCAAGATGTATGGCCTTGGAAAAATTTGGGAGCTCAATCAAGTCTTTTGATCCATGAAGATTGATTTTGCTTAAATTCACAAGATTCTGTAAAAACAAAAAAAAAAAATTCCATGGTAAGATTGGTGGCAAAAACGAAAATAATTACTCTCTCTTATCCTTTTTTAATAGTTTTACTAAAAAATTACTTATTAATGTCGAAAGGTTTTACAACTTTCTAAAATTACACTTAATCAATAATCTTTATAAATATCGGTGTGATGGTGAAATACAAATGCATTTTTTAGAATGGGTGCTGTCAGTCTGTCATTGAATTTTTTAAGAGGTCTTAAAGACCCATAGGTAAAGGCTTACCCATTTTCACCATATTTTTCTTCAATATTTCAGAACTTTTCTGGAAAAGCCAAAATGTGTTGCACCATGTAGGATGTTTTAATGATTCTTCACGAACAATTTGTTTACCCATTTGTTTTATCAGACTGTGCATACATATTCTTCCTCCATCAATATCTAAAAGAGCTTTATCTTCAAGTCTCATCAATCCAATCTCAGTTGAATAACCGCATGCATCTAACCATTTTTTTACATCCTCAACATCATAATCATCATTGAAAAAACATACGATATGTGAGAAAATATTTTTCTCTTCCTCATTATCAAGTCCTTCAAAGCTCAATTTGAGGATATCATTGACTTTTGGACAAGGTAATTTTTGAAGCTTTTCAAATTGGCTTTTCCATGCTTCTTGCTTTTTGCCGTGCAAGGAGGAGCCTAAAACCTTTAGGGCCAATGGATTTCCACCTGCATATCCAATCACTTTTTTTGCTAGCTCGCTTATCTTTGGATCACTATAGCCTTTTTTGAAGGCATTCAAGGAGAAAAGTTGAAAAGCTTCATCAGGATCCAAACCATGAAGCGCATATATATCATCCACTTCCTTACCAAGCACTTGCTTATCTCTAGTTGTTATTAAAATTTTACTACCTGGTCCAAATTCAAGTTTTCCAACTAGATTTTCTAATTGCGCATGATTATCAACATCATCAAGCACAATTAAAACTTTTTTCCGGCGGAGCCTACTTATGGTATGAGGATATATTGCATTGCCAATGTGAGATTCTTTATCCCCTAATAACCTCCGAAGGAGTTCTCTCCTTAAAGCATCCATTCCATATTTCTTCGATTCTTCCATTATGTTCAGAAAGCAAGACCCTTCACATGTAAAAAATAATTTGTTAAATAATGCTTCTGCAAGAATTGTTTTGCCTAAACCGCCCATCCCCCAAATTCCAATGAATTGACAGCCACCATTGTTTGAACCTTTGTCCAACAATGATTCTACATCTGCCATTCTTTTGTGAATTCCAATCAAGCCTTTTAGATAATATTCACTTTGATACCTAGGGCCCAACTTTTGCATGACTCGATTCACTATTTCTTCAATTAGTTCCGCTTCATCCCTACACACCATTGAAAAAAATAAAGAGGCACCAAATTTAATACCACATTATCTATTCATTTCAAATTTTGAACTATTTCTATTGACATGTAACTATGAAGATTTGCCCATTTTTAAAATTTCTTATAATATTTTTTTGAGAAATATTACTTATATTAGATGACATAACTAGACATATATATATATATATATATATATATATGAAATTCCAGCTTCATCTTATGGCTACGAATGCATCGTCATGACCATAGTGAAACAGGGATTGAGATTAAAATATCATAAGAGTAAATTGATTGACCCGGTGGACTGGTTAAGCATAGTGTACAAGAGAAGCTATTCTCTTTATGATCATCAGCGTAACTTCCATTAAATGCCTCAAAGATTGATTTAATTTAGCCCCAGGCGTGGATGAAAATGATAAGAGGAAGATCATAAATATGTAGTTACCTATTGAAGCCACAATGCCAACCAGACAAATTGGCAGCTTGAGTAAGAGCCTCCCCCCACCTTTGCAGTTGTTGATTGTTGATGTTTCTTTTGCACTCATGTTCTTCAAATGCTTTCTTGTAACTCCCAGACTGCTTCCTCACATGTGAAGGATCCACTCTATAGAACACCGGCATAACAAAGCAACCTTGATTTTTGGAGCACTCTAATATTTTTGCAAGCTCCTTCAGGCACCATGTGGAAGATGCATAGTTTTCTGAGAAGACCACAAGGAACAGAGTTGAATCTTCAATGGCTTTCTCGAGAGGCGGCCATACCTCATCTCCTTTCTCAAGTCTATAGTCGATGTATGTATATATTTGGTTTCTGCGAAGAGCTTCATGAAGGTGGCTCGTGAAGTTGAATCGGGTGTCCTCACCTCTGAAGCTAATAAAAACATCATATTTCTTTGGAGATTGGGAAGATGGAGCAGAGGAAGAAGATGAAGCCATATCAAATTGCTTGGCTACGATATGCCAAAAAAAGGGGACTGCTTTCGATTCAGATCTAAGAACGATTGGTAATAGGAAACAAACCGGCCTAAGAGGAAGATATATAAGATTTTAGGGGAATAGATTGAGTCAACCAAGTCAATGAAAGATGGAACAAAATGAATAATAAATAATCATAATAAATTATAGATAAAAGCAAAGCTAACTTTTAGAGATTTATCATAATACAGCTTCCATACGTGTGACTTCTGAGAAGTTTCACATGGCCTGATCCTCAAATTTGAAATTTCAAAGAAACGCGGTCCTCCTACCCAATTAGTAGTGTGTGGAAAAGACAGCACTAAATCAAAAACATAGTATAGAGAGTAAGGAAATTCCACTGACCCTGTCTCCGAAATGTTGATCAAATATCTTTGAGACCTTCACCCAAAGCTTTGATCAAATTTTCTAAGGGATGGTCCAAAAAGAAAAAGAAAATAAAAAATCCCAAGAAAATAGAAACGCCTGCGATCAAATGTCCTAATGAAATTTGGATTAATAAAGCACTATAATTACACCTCTCTTACTTATGTTGCATGTTTAGTGTTCGCCTCTAGAAATATAAGGTTGAACAAATACTTATTTTCTTCAAAAAATAATAACGTATATTATCAAAACATTTAACGTGAAAGCCAGAGCCAGTAAGCATTGGAGTAGAGGAGGGTGTGACGGTGAGTAAAAAACGCGGAGGAACAAGTACGGATTGCGCGTGACAGTGAGAATGGTGGAGCCTCATAAATAGTCATGTGTCTTATTTTGAGGAATGATGTTAAACAATGTTTTGTATAAAATACCCCTTATGAATAAATAAAATAACTCAGCACTTTTTATCGTGCCAGTCTATTGTCATATAGTTTTTCTTCTTGATGAATGACATTTATATTTTTACTAAAAATATATGACCTAGCCCACCTTGGATTGAAGTTGAGAAAATGCAAAGTGTAAATTGAGGGTAAGAGTAGAAAAAAGAAAAAAAAAAAGGGGGTTTTAAGACATAATAAGTTAATGCTTGCGAAGCTTGCAGAAAGTTCACAAAACAAACAAATATACAAAAAAGTAGAAAAAAGCTACTTTTGACTTTCATACGGAGATCGTCAATCTGCCTACGAAAATAGAATCTCTTTGTTGGCTTTTTGGCATATGACTCAACCGACGCGTATAGTTATTGGCTTCATGTTTCAAAAAGTGTAGGGTGCTTTAATGAGTAAGTGAATTCGGGTCAAGTGAGGCCTTATCCATGATACATTACAAAAAAACAGACTTTCGGCGGCGACAAAAAAAGTCATCGCTGAAAGTTCACTTTCAGCGGTGACACCACAAAGTCGCTACTGAAACTAAGACTTTCAGTGGTGTCGCCGCTGAAAGTATAATATAATAATATATATTTTATTTTACAATATTAATAAACAAATTCAATCTGACTCAGCGGTAAGAAGGTTAGACACGAAAGGAGGCGGTCATGAGTTCGAACCTGGAAGAAGACACATTTAAGGTGAAAATATTTAAACGATGACGTGATGAGGAGGAGTGATGTGGCAATGATGTGGAGGTGGCTAGTGATGATGTGGCGGTCGGCGGTGATGATGTGGCCGCCGATGGCGATGACGTGGAGGTCGACGGTGATGACGTGGCGGGCCGGAGACGATGACGTGACACCGGCGGTGATGACGTGGCATTGGTAAAGCCAATTCTTCTTAGGCATTACTTTCAGCGGCGACAAAAAAGTCGCCGCAGAAAACACTTTCGGCGGCAACATTTGTCACCGCCGAAAAGTCTTTCAGCGGCGACAAGAGTGTCGCCGCCGAAAGTGTTTTCTGCGACGACTTTTTTGTCGCCGCTGAAAGACTTTTCGACGGCGACAAATGTCGCCGCTGAAAGTATCTTTTAGCGGCGACCTTTTTAGTCGCCACTGAAAGTTTTCAGCCACGGCTGCTACGGCAACGACTTTTCAGCGGCGACTTTGAAAGTCAATTTTTTTGTAGTGATAGTTGATCAAGGAGTTGATTTATAACTTATAAAGTTATGAGTTTTAATTATGCTGTCGATATAAGAATTTTGTTAATAAATAATATTTAAATATTTATATTAGCACTTTTCTGGTCTGAAAACATATCAAAGTCTCTGAGACCTAATTCACCTAAATTATTTTGAAAAAAAAAAAGTGAATCCTTTAGAGGATTTTTTTTTTTCCGTAACTTATTCCAATGCCCATCATAACAATGACATCTAACCTTTTTAATATTTTTAATCTGTAATTTTATTATAATAAATATATTTTTTAAGAAGTGACAGTGATAAAATTATCTTTGAATTTTGTATATATTAAAAAAATTATTTAATATATAAAAATATTAAATTGAATTAATAATCTAAAATCAATTTGGGTGATTCTTATTATGATGAGGGTATTGTACATAGTAACTTCACATTTTTATTATTGGTTTTTTTGGGCTGGTCAAAAAAAGAAAGAAAAAGAAGTTTTTATAAATTTATTTGTTAATACTTATAGTTTATTATAAATTTTATACGTTTTATGTTGATCACCATGCATTGGGTAAGAAGCTGTAACCCCCCCCCCAAAAAAAAAAAACAGAGAGAAAATAATAACAGAGGCTGATTGATTTTAGCTTGAGTAAGATTTGTTCATTCCAGTATCCTTTCGTCGTTAAATGGACTTAAATGTATTCACAATTTGAACAGTGAAAACAAGAGTGAAGAAAATAAGGGGAGAAAAACTCTCCAATCAAATACTCTCCCTAATTATAAGTCTCAATTCTTCTAAATACACATAAAAGCATGTGATTTTATCTGATTTTGGTCTTTTATAGGAAGTATTCTAGGAAAAATGTTTTAATTATATCCAGAACTTTGTGATGAGACTTATAACTGGGGACCAAAACAAATATAAAAGCTAGGACTTATGTTTAGAGAAAGAGGCTCTTCTCGGCTCCCCTCCTTTCCCCAAATCATTGTCGTTTTGGGTGTAAAATGAGGGGTACTGTTTTTTTTTTTTTTTAATAACATCTAGCATCTTGAAGTACTCTTCCGCTCTTTAATTTAAAATCTATTTAACTAATTTAATTAGACTAAAAAAGTGATATAAGTTAGTTAATTATAAGAAATATGATATATTTTTCTTAAAACACCATAATCATCTTCTTTAATATCCTCCTTTCCTTTTTTACTTGATTATGACTGAGGGAATATTCATACGGGTAATTTAGAAAAATTATGAGAAATTGGTCTTACATTTAGAACCAAAATCAACTCAATAATTAGGTCTTATATTAAAGACCAGAGAAGTATTATTTAGTAACTCCTAATATCTTAAAATAATTTTAAATAGGAGATGGAGAGTCAGGAACACACGAAGAACCAGAACTTACAATTCAAAAGGATAGGCTGCATTTCACTAATATACAAAATGATAATACTTATACCCAAAAAAAAAAAAAAGTAATCACTGCACATTGGTCCTGAAATAGATCCTCTGTTACAAGTGAAGGTCACACACAGTCCGCGAAAGAGAAGGGTGAGATATTTGCGCTTCGGAGAAAACTGCTGAGCGTGATGTCTGTTGTTAAAGCAGTGACCAAAGTGCGAATGCTCTGTTGAAGTAAAAAGATAAAAGCAAAGTTTCCTCCGTTTGAGAATACTGCAAAGGATGATTTTTTGGTAACTGCCAGAGATATTTTGGTGTTTCCATTTTTTATTTGAAATAAATAATTCTATGTCCCCGCCCCCCTCTTAAAAATGTACTAAACAAACACACCCATGGCAACTAAGATTACATGGCAATGCATTCCATGAAGGGAAGCCAAAATGCGTAACTTAACTTGCCCAACCTGTGTATTTCCGCCAACTGGACTTTACAAGGACTAAATTTCCATAAAACTTTAACTAATAGCAGGTGCGTAGCACAACACGAGGATAATATTTCATCAAGTCTATAGTCGCTATATGTATCTATTTGGTTTCTGCGAAGAGCTTCATGAGGGTGGCTTGTGAACTTGAAGCGGTTGGCCTCGCCTGATCTGAAGCTAATATTTCTTTGGAGATTGAGAAGAGGAAGCAGTGGAAGAAGATGAGGCCATATCAGATTGCTTGGCTACTATAAGCAAATTAAAAGAGAACTGCGACTGCTTTCAATTCAGATTTTAGCATGATTGGTAATAGGAAACAAACCAGCCTAAGAGGAATACTCTTCCTATTATTAATATGGAACTCAATTGTTAAGTTAATTTTTATTCTAAATATAAGACATATTTTCATATTTATTAACTTTTTCTAAATTACTCTTATGAATACTCTTTCAATCATAATCAAGTAAGTGAGGAAAAGAGGATATAAAGAAAGATGATTATGGTGTTTTAAAAAAAACATGTCACTTTTCTTATAATCAATAATCTTACCTAATTTTCTTAATTTAATTAAATTAATTGCAGAGTAGATTGAGGGAACCAAGCCAATGAAAATGGGATCAAAATGAAAATTAAATAATCATAAATTGCAAAGAAAGGCGGTCCTGCCGAGTTATTAGTGTGGGGGAAAAGACAGCACTAAATGAAGAACATAGTACAAAGAGAAAGGAAACTCCAGTGACACTTTCTCCGAAATGTCGAAAGCATAATCAAATTTTCCAAGTGCTGGTCAAAAAGACAACATAGTACAAAGAGAAAGGAAACTCCAGTGACACTTTCTCCGAAATGTCGAAAGCATAATCAAATTTTCCAAGTGCTGGTCAAAAAGACAACATAGTACAAAGAGAAAGGAAACTCCAGTGACACTTTCTCCGAAATGTCGAAAGCTTAATCAAATTTTCCAAGTGCTGGTCAAAAAGACAAAGAAAATCAAATTTCCTAAGAAAATATGGACGCCTGCTGTCAAATGTCCTCGTAAAATATGATTTAATAAAGCATTATAATTATACCTCTCTCAGTTTTCCCCTGGGCAGCATTGGGAATAATATAACGGAGTAAACCCAAAAAGCAAGTCAATTGCGCGTAGAGGATGGGCTGACCGTGACTCTGTAAGTAACAAACAGGGAGGAATAAGTTATGGATTGCGCGTGACAGTGAGAATAGTAAAACTACACTCATAACCGCGAAAATTAAAGTAGAAAGTTCACACACAATTGAATAGCTTGTTTGCTTATAATTATCTGTGAATAATTTTGTCTTATATTAAAGATGAAAAATAGTATAAGGAAGATGAAGGGCCTGTTTGTTTTTGTTCTTTGTTTTCTTATTATCAAAACAATTTTATAAAATTATTTTTAAGAACAGGTTTTGGAAACAAAAAATAAAAAACTTTGTTTGGAAAATAATTTTTAAAAAATCACATTTGGAAAAAAAATATAAAAAATTACACTTTAACAAGTGGTAGTTATCACCGGTAATGATAAGTAATAGATAGTAGAGGAGAAGAAAAGAAGATTTCTCCAATTTTTCAAAACAAAAAAATAAAAAACAAAAAAAACAAAAGCAAAAAAAACATATAAAAATTGTATTGGTTTTTCAGTTTTTAAAAATATATTATTATTTTTTGTTTTTTAAAACAATCAACTAAAAACAAATTGCCAAACAAAGTTTTTTATTTTTCATTTTTAAAAATAAAAAACTCAAAGCACCCATCTTATCACACTTGGACAAGAGAAGTGATGCTAGCTCATTACACCATCCTGCTTCAAGACGTCGAAGGTAACGCAGCTTAATCAATTTGTGAACACTTCTCACATATCTGCAATTGTTTAGAGATAATGAACGAATTTTGCTGCGATGCCCACTTGATGAGCGCAACATACCACTGATGGCAGTTCCTGAAAGGTTTAATTTGAACTCATCATTTTCTGAGGTCACAAAAAATTCCTCCAGACTTGAGCAACCACCTGCATCGAGCCGAATGAGAGACTGGAGATGGGTATAGCTTGTAAGGCTGGTAAGAGACTTGCAATCGCGTAGCCATAAACCACGCAGGCTGTGGCAAGATAAAATAGACGGATGAACACTTTGCAATTTTGAACAACCATTGAGATTAACATGCTCAAGACTTGTGGCGTTGGAAAAATCTGGGAGTTCAATCAAGTCTTCTGATCCAGCAAGCGTAATTTCGATTCAGTTCGGAAGTTCCTGTAAAAACATAAATTACATGATAAGATTGGCGGCCAAAACAAAATTAAGTAACTCATCTATTCCTTTTTATAAGGTTTCGCTGCTGTTTTGCTGAGAAAATTAGTTGAAATTAGCTATTGTCAACAAATTTTACAACTTTTCATAATCTCAATCAATACTCCCTTCGATTGAAGATATCAAATAACTAAATCACATAATTTTAATAAAATTAGTTATAAATAATAAATAATAAATAATAAAAGAAAATATAACTTGTTTTCTTAAAACACGTTTATTTATGAAGAGGACAAATGAGAGAAAAAATATGTAGAAAAAGAGATATGAGAGAATAAGTGGGGGGAAAAAAGAATTAGAAAGATATATAATTAATTAAGAGTAAAAATAAAAATGATGTATTTAATGATTAGATAAATCCAAATTATAACTTATAAAATAAAACAAAAAAAGCTTCAAAGATTTGATGCTTATAATTCAACAAAGATGGTAATCTTTATAAGTAAAGGTCATGGAGCTTAGTGTGAGGGTGAAAGACGAAGGCATTTATTTAGAATGGGTTATCAATATGTCATTGAATTTTGTAAGAGATTTTATCTGGACCTCAAAAATGGACTGAGGAGAGAGTACTTAATAAAGATTTTCCAACTAATGTATTAACAATATTCACCAAGGACAAAATATAAAATTCACTTGCACTCCATCCCAAAGTCTTGTCAAATTGCTGTCGGGCATTTGGAATTCAACAAGATTTTCAGCCTTGAATGTTGCCGGCAAGGACGCACAAGGGTATGCCGTCCAACACAATTTTATGAGTCCTTCTGGCAAAAAGTCTAATCCATCAGGAATTTCTACCTTGACTTCATCCCCACCAAAGATTTTGTGATAAGAATAAAAATTAAGAATCTTTAGGTTGGGCATTGAACGAAAGGCTCTACGACTTAAGCGCATCTCTCCAACTTCTGGAAGGTTCAGTCTTACACCTTCAACGGCTTTACTTCTCTAACAAATGGGGGGAAAAAAAACGTTAGTAATAAAAATATTATGTAAATTAAATAGGAATACTGAATTCAAAAAAAATTTTATATAAAAATATGAAGAAATTTTGCTCTTACCTTTTTTGCCACCAATATTTCAGATATTTCTTTAGGATCCCATAATCGACTGCGCTTTCTAGGATGTTTTGGTGACTCATCACGAACAGCCTGTCGACCCATTTCTCTTAGCAGATCGTGCATTGATATGCTCCCAAATTCATCAACTTCTAAAAGAGCTATCTCTCTAAGTCTGTTCAATTCAGAACAGATTGAATAACCACGTCGTGCTTTTAACAAATTTTTTATCGCCTCAACACCATCAGTTGAAAGACGTCCCTCAACATCATTATTATCACCAGTTAAAAGACATGCGATATCCAAGAAACTCTCTCTCCCTCCATCATCAAGTCCTTCAAGACTTATTTTTAGGACGTCGTTAATTCGTTGATCAGGTAATATTTTTAGTTTTTCTAGTAGGCTTTCCCAAACTTCTTGATCTTTCTCATTAGGCAAGGAGGAACCTAAAACTTTTAGGGCCAATGGATTTCCATTTGCATAACTAGTCACTTTCTTTGCCAAACTTTCTAGATTTGGGTCAGGGACAGGGCAGTTTTTTCCCGAGGCATGTAAAGAGAAAAGTTGAAAAGCCTCATTAGGATCCAAACCCTGCAGTTCATATATAGCATCACTATCTACTTTAGTACCAAGGACTAGTGTATCTCTAGTTGTTATTAAGATTTTACTCCCTGGTTTAAACCAATTGCGCTGTCCAACCAAATTGTCCACTTGATCATAATTATCAACATCATCAAAAACAATGAAAACCTCTTTCCGTTTAAGTCTCGTCATGTCATAAGGGTCAGTGTGAGGATTTTTATCCCCTAATAATGCCGAAATAAGATCTTTCTTCACAGCGTCTATTCCATGATTCTTTGATTTTTCTCCCACTTTTTCCATAAAGACAGACCCTTCGTATTCAGAATGCCACTTGTTATACAATGCTCTTGCAAGAGTTGTTTTGCACAAACCGCCCATCCCCAAAATGCAAATAATTCGGACATCGTTGGACTCCTTGTCCAACAATGATTCTACGTATTCCATTCTCTCTTCAATTCCAATCAAGCCCTCTCCATTATTTCCACTTGGATACCGTTTTCGCAACCTTTTGTTAACACTTTCCACTATTTCTTTAATTTCATCTGCTTCATGATCTCTGCACACCATTGAAAGAGTGAAGATGCACCAAATTTAATATCGCGTTATCTATTCAAAATTTTTAACTATTCCTAATGAAATGCAACTTCGAAGATTTGTCAATTTTGAAAATGTGTTCTTATTAATAGTTTTCTTGAAAAACATTGCTCCTTCATTCTTTATTATAAGAAATAATTATGAAGTATGTCATGTTTTTATTAGAGGTATTTAGAAGTTGTCTCAAATTTCGTTTATCGATTTTTTATTTTATCCTATTTAATTACTCATATTACTCATATCGTTGCGTTTAATTCCCACACATTATCTCTCTTCCATATAAATGAGGGTATTTTTGACAAAAAGGTTATATTTTTTTACCCATTTATTGTCCTCAACACAATTTAGGTAATTGTCTATTATAAAAGGTGGGAGAGAGAGAGAGAGTACAAAATAATTTAAACTAGATATATAAAATTTTAGCTTAATTTAATGGCTATGAATGGATCATAGTGACAATAGTGAGACGGGGATTCAGATGAAAAATATCGTGACAACAAAGTTGATGGGCCTAGTGGACTGGCTAAGCAAATTAAAGTGTATATATATGAGATCCTATACTGTCATTATGATTAGCAACTCCCATGAGATGCTCAAAGATTGATTTAATTTAGCCCCATGCATCATGGAAGAACATGGTAAGAGAAAGATCATAAGCATGTAGTTACCTGTCGGTGATGG